ACCGGTGATCTCCATGCAGAAGGTTCAATCCAGACCCATGTCCTACCACCCTGAAATAAAATCAGGTCAAAATGGGTCAAAGAGCTCGACATTAGACCAGAAACACTAAATCTGCTAGAAGATAAAATATGTAAAGCTCATGCAGACATAGGCATAGGTAAAGACTTTCTGAACACATCCCTAGTGGCACGTTATAATACTAAGAGGCAACAAACAATGAACTAAAGAGACAAACTCCGCAGTGAGAAATTCTTTGTCAGCTTTTCCTTGGGCAGAGAACTAATATTTAGAATAAAGAACAACAGCGAAAATAAACCCTCCAAGATGAAAGACCCAATTAAAGAGGAATTACAATGAAAATGCATTTTTCAAAGAAGCGCAAATGGCCAATAGAGTACTTAAAAAAAGTCCAACATCTTTGACCACTAGAGAAATGCAAATCAAAACAATGTAAGATTGCATCTCATTCCACTAGACATGGCTATCATCAAGAACTCAGAGATTAACAAATGCAGGCAGGGTTGTAAGGAAAATGGAATCCTACTACAATGTTGGTGGGAATGGAAACTAGTACAAACTGGGAATGGTGGCACATGCCTGCATTCCTAGCACGTGGGAGACTGAAGCAGGAGAAACACTGCAAGTTCAAGACTAGCCTGGGCTCCAAAGTACGCTCAAGGCCAGCCTGAACTGCTTGGCAAGGCAGTCTCAAAATGACAAAAAACAAAACAAAACAAAACAAAATAATAGAAAAAAGGAAGAAAGAAAAAAGAAAGAAGAAAAGAAAGAAAGAAATTCAGAAAGAAAGAAAAGAAAATTAGTAGAGTCACTCTGTCCATTTGACTGTAGTATAGCCCATCTGGCTATCTTACAAGAAATCTAAAGACTCCACCTTACGGAGATTTGTATATTCCTGTGTTTATAGTGGCACTATTCATAGTATCTAAAATTTTGAAATGGCCTACATACTCATCAACAGATGAATGGGTAAAAGAAATCTGATATATGGAGCACCATACACCACAAAAAAAGAAAATTTTCACTCAGGTGGCTGAGGCAGGAGATTTGTTGGAAGTTTGAGGCCCACTTGGACCACATAGTGAGACTCTGTCTTAACAAAAAACCCAAGGAAGGTAAACTTGATTCATTTGTGGGTGAATCCTGGGTGGATTCTGAGACTAATTCTAAGTGAAATAAACCAGATACAAAAGGCTATGTCCTAGACCTGAGGAAGTTTACAATATCACCAGTTTCTAAAGGAAATCTAACTTTTAAAGTTTCATTCTGCAGTACCTATTCACATCTACTGGAAGAAAGACTTAGGGGACTTTATAGTAGGACTAGTTTTGAAATGTCAGTTTATCAAGTACCCAAATTATCATCATCATTCCAATAACTAAAATCATAGAAATGTCACTGAGTAAAACTTCACCTGAAGAAGTCCCATGATTCACCCAATCCTGTCATTTTTCATCTGCCAATTCTCCTTCATCACATTGGTCAAGAAATAATTTTTTTCTTTTAGCCTTTTAAATTCAATCTTCATGGGCCTATGAATTAAACTGGTGAGAGCCAAATTAGCAGGAAAATGGTGTTTATTCATATGATAGGAGAGTTAATGAAAGGAGCAAGCACCCACACCTGGTCACAATTAGTAGGAAGCAGAGGAGTGAAAAGATTTCTATGCAAAGAACAAAATTTTTCTTTAGGAAAGACAACTGGAGTTTGGGGAGAACAAAAGGAAGACAGGAAGGCTGCAAAAATGTGTGCTTATGCTGTTGCAAGTGGTCTTTGAACTTGGTGAGACATGAACTACACCAGAGAGGAGACTTAGATAGGTTTATTCTTGGCTTCATTGTTAGACTGGCCTGAAGGGAAAATTTATGGCAGCCTTATTTCCTAGAACTTAAAGCATTTAGTCACATTAGGAGACCTCTGCGAAAGCATCTTCCTTTTTCTCTTGAAATTAGCCATAATGTCCAGATGCTTCCTCCCATAGCCCCATCCCACACTCCTGCACAGGCGTGTGCGTGCGCGCGCGCGCGCACACACACACACACACACACACACATACACACACACACACACACACACACACACTCACAGGGTTTGGAAGGTATACAGGATGACCTTCACCAGTCTTGCCCTGACAAACATTACTCATCTTTATTAGTATCCTGTCTCCTTAGATTATAACCTGGCTTATCTGGATAGGGCACACTTTTCTTGCAACTCACCTAGCAAAAGACTCTTGAAATCTGATCCTTGTCTTCTAGCAATGTGTTTTGTTAGACCCTCACTGGATGTTTTGAAAAGTGAAACAGCTACATGTCAGTTTCCTTACCTATCATTCATTACATCAACCTTCAGACCTGGTGTGGAAGGAATCTAATCTCTTCTCTCACCACCCACTGCTATTACAGGTCACTTCATCTCTTGCCAGGTGTCTAGATGGAGAGATAATAGGCAGCTACGAGCAGAGGACTGATTGAGAGACCAGAAGGTATAAAAACTAAGACCTCACATCAATCATCGTCATCTCCTTATTGCTCTTCCATTCTCTGCCCTTCGGTTGATCCTTTATAACCTTGCCCAAAGTCTGTTTCCACAGCATGCAGAGGGATCCTTTGCACCTTTGGAAGTTTAAACCAGCTCCTGTTACTCTGCAGCTAAAGTCCTCAAGTTAACTTTTAGTTCTCTCAGAACTAAATAAAAAAAACCCATACCATGAACTTCAGAACTGGTCTCCATTTTATTTTGACTTCAGGTTGCAATATCCTGTGGGATCACACAGGAAGGAAGTCCTGGAGCCCCGGTGCCCCTGTCTCAGAGCCTTTAATTACTGGTGGTGTTTTAGGCCTCCTTTCCTACCTGTATCTCTGCTCCTCGTGATTTGCTAGAGGCCTGGCCTGGCCCTTGTTTCTGGAAATGTTCAGCCCTGTCTCAAATGCTTTCATCAGTTTGTTTTTCTTCCTGGTGCTTACAACCATCTGACATGCACATTTATTCCCTTATTCTATGATTTTCACTTCACTGGACTAACGTCTATGTGATGCAGCTTGAGTTTTGCAACTCCTTTTTCTGTTTGGTTCTTTTCTTTCTTTCTGTCCTTCCTTTTTTTGTACCAGGAATCAAACCCAGGGCCTTGCACTTGCCAGGCATGTGCTGTACCACTGAGCTACACCCCCCGCCCTGGTGTATTCTTGTATCTTCAGTGCCCAGCATGGTGTCTGGCCCAAAGCAAGTGTGAGTAAATCTCTGTTGAGTCTTGTAGGATTTTATCTTTTTCTCGCTTCCTTTAGCAATGCAAAAATATCAGATCTTTCCCTCTTCACTGTTCACTGGGAATTGAATCCAGACCCTTAGCATTTAGCTATATCCTTGGTCTTTTTCTTATTTTTTAGTTTGAGACAGGGTCTTGATAATTGTCCAGGATACCCTCAAACATGTAATCCTTCTCCCTCAGCTCCTAGAGTAAAAATTACAAGACACTGAGCTCAGCAAATCCACCTTCTCAGGGGGAAGGGCAGAGTAAGACAGGCTGTAGGTCAGACATTAATATGCTGTTAAAATTTAATGGAAATATAACACACATCCAAAAGCAGAATGTATATAAACTAAAGCTCTATCTTCATCCACAGATGAGGGAATCAGGAGGTGACAGAACTACTTCAAAGGAGAAAGCGTTAGAGATAGTGAGAAGAAGAGGAAATTGTTGGCTTGGAGATGACAGATAAGCTTCTAACCCTAACAAGGGTCTATGGAATCTTCACAGGACAAGATAAATTTTATCATCAATCAGGAAAAAATCTGGGATTCCATCACAAAGTATGCTTTTGGCTTACAAATTAACTTCTCCCTCCATTTGAAAATTATATTTTTCTGTGCTGGGAATTAAAGTAAGGACCTTTGCAATGAGCTGCATCCTCAGCCTCTTTTATTTTTCAAAACAAAGACAGGGCCTACCTAAATTACTAAATTGCCCAGGCTGGGTTTGAATTTTTGACCCTCTCCCTCAGCTTTCCAGAGTACTGGGATCACGACATGTGCCACCACATCTGACTTTCCGGTCTTTCTCTTTTTAAAATTCACTTTTTGGTGGTGCTTGGAATTCAACACAGAGGCTCTAGCACACTAAGATGACAGTTACTTTTAACTAAGTTCAGGGCCAGAAAAGTTGAAAAGGAGGCAGCCGAATCTAATGTTCCTTGGCTTGGTTAGGGGGCTTCAGTTTTCTGCCTTAATCACAAGTTTCATATTTGCCAGGATGAGGCACTGAAGGCCAGAAAGGTGTTTGGGTCTTGACTCCGGTGACACTTGCTTACACAACAGGAACCACATGTCATTTCAAGTTAAGGGCAGTAGTGTCTTTGTGCTCCAACTCGTTTCTGGAGCTGGTGCCTGGGCCCACGATGTCCAAGGGCTGATCTCTCCTTCTGGCCGCCGTCATCCTGGTCACTGTGCCCAGGACCCTGTGTCACACACAATGTCCAAGGGACAATCTTGCCCTCTGGACTCCAGTGTGGCAAATGGTTCACCTGTTCACCAGTGTCCTCTTCAGTCTCTAGTCCATCTTGCGAGTTGAATATGTGCTTGTTGATAACCCTGTACAGGAAGTAACATCTGGGCCAAGTGTTGTGGAAAGAACACAGTCACTGGGAGCCGGTACCTGGGACCCGGAAACTAAGCAGAGGTGCCGGGCCGGACGGTGGGCATCCAGGTGGGGTACAGGGTGAGGGTGTGAGTCCCAGTGGTCAGGGCGAGCCAGGCTCATGGAAGCCTGGGGTTTCGCATCGACCTTCCTGGTCTGCTAACTGTTCTCAGCTTCGGGCAATGTGTATGGAAACAGGAAGGATGGAGAAGCGGGAGAACCTGCCTGGGCCTTGGTCCACTCCCTCAGAGGAGGCTTCTTGAAAAACGCGCCAGGGTCCCCAAGAGAGAAGTCCTGCAGCCTGGCTCTCAGGACCCCCCCCCCCCCCACCGTAAGGAGCCCAGTAAGCTGCCTTCCTGTCCGCGCTCGTCCCCGCGACCCAGGTCACCGGTGCCGGGTACCGCAAAAGCGAGCCCAGGCGTCTCGGTCCCCGGGGGCGCGCCCAGCCGGCCTCGGTTCTCCAGAACGCGCAGGGCCGCCCTGGGTCCCCGGGAGCCGCGGGAGCGCGCAGCTCGCGATCGGGAGCGCGCCGCGGGCGGGCGGGCGGAGCGCGGCGAGGGCTGAGCTGTGCGTCTGGCTCACGTCGCGGTTCCCTGTCGCCGTCCCACGCGCGGACGCGTCCCGCGGTGGCCTGGAGGCCGCGGATCGCCATGGGCCGCGGGCCGGGGAGCACGGTGGCGCTGCTGCTCGGGCTGCTGGCGCAGGTAGGAGCGGGCGCCAACAATAGGGCGGGGGCCGGGCCGAGCTCCCCGGGACCCTGCGCGCCGCGCCGAGTCCCACCCACGACCTGCGGTGTCGGGTCCGGAAGGGCGCCAGCTACCGGGAGGCCCCGGAGAGCTGGTCCCGCCGCGTCCGTTTGCAACCCTGAGGTGACCTTTGTGCACCACCGCCACCGCCCTGGCCGGGGAGCGCTGGGTGCGGACGCGGGGTCCCCAACCGAGGTCTGCGGGCGGGAGGTCGCGGGGCCGAGCGAGGTCTGAGGAAATGTCACCGGAAAGCGAGGGAAACGCCCAGAGGAGCACGGGAGGGACGCTCGCTCCGGCTGTGCGCTCGGAGCTCAGCCTCCGCAGGAGAGAAAGCCTCGGAGAGCTCGGCTTCAGGGCGCCCGAGCCGCGGCCCGAACTTGGGAGTTGACGTTCTCGCGGGACCGGCTTCTTCTAGCCAAGAAATGCCACCTGCTACCGGGCCACCCCCTTCCTGCCAAAGCGGTTTCTTTAAAAATGAGAGCCAGTGGAATTGTGTGTAGAGTCTGACTAGGGATCCTTCAATCCCCACCTACATTCGTTACTTGGAAAGACATTTATTAAATTAATGAAATCGGTGTGAATGGTAGTGGTCAAGCTACTTCTCTTTGGTCTGCCCTGATGTAGAGAGTTGTGAAACTCTCAAATAGTGGATGAGTAGTGCTGGCAATGACTTCTTCGATTTTTCCTTGTGGTGAGAAGTAATTGCTAGAAAATATTGAAAGCCTTGGTTCTCTTGGAAGGAAGGCTTCACTACAGCTAAAATTTCCTGTTTTTATTCAAAAATCTCCCTCTTACTTGGTACTAATATTTTTTGTGGCGTGCTTCCCCATTCTTTCCAGTTGTTCAGTTTTAAAACGTGACAGATGGAATGGCATCCCCTTTAGTGACTCACCAGAGAGAACAGAGAAGTGCTCTGCTGTTTGCATAAAAATAAATGTGTGTTTGCCTGAATACATCGGTATCCACACGTGAAATGCTTCCTGTATTCTCAGGCAGTGCTTGATGGAATTATCTAGCATTCCCTCTCCTCTGTTTGTGCTGCCTGTTTCTCCTAGTTGTTGGACCTGCTTTGAACTGTACCCACAGGGCCCTGAGAAAGAGGACTCCTTTTTTTACAAACAATTGTTCATTTGCATGGGGATTTGTCATCTTACCGGGGATTTCTAATCTTGCCTGAAAGCTTGAGAGGATCTTAAGGGCAGAGGTACTGCAGAGAACTAAAACCTGAATGACTAAGGTGGTGCTTTTGCAAAGTCAAGTGTCTGTGTGTTTAGTAATCTTTCTTTTCTGTACTTGTACATGATGATATTCTTGAGTATGATGCTTTCTTTGTAGTGGAGAGGTATCCCTGGGAGGAACTAAGGAGATTTCTCTGTAATTCCTAACATGGAGTTTTATATGTGAGACTTTTGACAATTTAAAGCTTAAATTCGTGGTTCTAAACGTGTGTTGCCAGCGTACTTTGGATGCGTGGAAGTGTGCAGTTTCACTTGCTGCACCTGTGCAGAGACAGTGTTTTGTGGTGACTGCATGAAAACAGTCCAGGGAGAGGTTTGAGGGCTGTAGGTTTCCCTGCCAGCTGCAGTCGAAACATTTCTCTTTGTTTCTTTGTTCTACTTGAGCTGGTTTCCCTGTATGAATTTGTCCTATAATTGATCATGAGCCACCTGGAATTCAGGGAGCTTGCTTGATCAGGGGTTCATTGCCGTGTCCTGCACACTGTGCCTCTCCAGCCTTATCTGGAGTCGAGTGTGGGTGGTTTTCATGAAGGTGGAAGACCCATGAGTGGGAAGGAGATCCAAGAACTGTCAGAGAAGAGCTTTCCTCCACTATTTTGCCCTCCCTTCATAGAAATTTCTTAGCTATTATGCGTAAAACTGCACTTTATTTGTATTCAGCAAACATTCAGCGAATACTTTCCCAGGTTCGGGCACACTATTCTTAGCATTTTACAAATGTTAGTCCATGAATCCTTGTAGCAATTACTTTCACCTATATTTTTATTCCAAAGGGAGATGTTCAGTGACTTGTCCATGTCCCTGCTATGAAATGTAAACCTAGGCCATCTGCCTCCAGCCTATGTCTCACCATGCTGTTCTTCCTGTGTGAGGTCTTCTTGCACGGGCACTTACAGGCAGTTTGCACACTGCGTAGTGTTCCTTGCCAGTTACTTATCCCTGGGGCAGTGGTGAGCTTGGAGATGTGTGGCCTAATACACAGTTAAGTCAGCAAAGTCTCTAAAAGCTCAGTCACCTTTCCTTGGAGCAGAAGTATAACTTGGCTTTCAAACTCTGACACTTTGGAGAGTGAAAGTGGATGCTGGATAACTGCCTGGACAGAAGACATCAGCAGGACTGTCCTGGGAAGTCCTGGCTGTGCACTTATCCTGAAGTCCCACAGGGCTCTGAGCCAGGAGGCAGCTGGCAGCAGCATCCTTCCCCAGGGGCCTTCTGGGAGCTCGTTGCTGGAGTGACCCTTTTTCTCTTAACCCAGCATTTCCTATGAATTACACTGGCAGGTCATCCCCTCATCCCAGGCACTGCACCAGCTGGCTGAGTCCCAAGAGCCTTGGGCCTTGAATGTGAGAGATTCTATAGCTCAGCCACAGGCTCTGGCTCCCCTGAACAGGAGAACCCCAGATACCCTTTTGAGAGATAGAATTCTAAGTCCCATGCTTCTGTTCTGCCTGCTGGCTGCATGACCTCCTGGAAACAGCCCTTTCAAGAGGAGGATGGGCGCTCAGCTGTCTCCCCGGGAGGCCTCCACTTCACTGGGTCACCGCTGTGCCTCAGAAACTGTGGCAACAATAGTAAATCTCTGTTTACACTTGGGTTGAACTTGGGGAGTAATTAGGCCTCAGCACATGTGCCTCCCAGGAGCTTTGCATCAGAGTACAGCATTTTCTAGATATCAGCACTACCATCTCTTTCTAAGGGTTTGGTTGTTGACACTTTTGAATACATAGCTTTTGTCAGACAGGCTCAGCTCTATCCTTCCTTAAAAGGAGGCCAGAGATGTCTATTAGTATTTTTCTTTTTCTTTTTTTTTTTCTGGTGGTACTAGGGATTGAATTTTTCATTGAGCTATATCCCCAGACCTTTTTAATTTTTTTTGAGGCAGGGTATTGCTAAGTTGCTAAGTAGCTCAAGTTGGGCTCAAACTTGTAATCCTCCTGCCTAACTTTTCCAGAGTACTGGGATTATAGGTCTGCACTGCCAGGTCTGGTTTATGGCATACTATTTAAAAATTATTATTATTATTATTATTTTGGACTGGATCTTGCTATGTTACCCAGGCTGATCTCAAACTTCTGGACTCAAGCAGTCCTCCCATCCCAGCCTTCCAGGCAGCTTGGACTACAGATATGTGCCACCAGGCTTGGTTTTTTAAATTTTGTATTTATTTATTTTGTGATGCTGGGGGTCAAACCCAGGGCTTCCTGTATGCTAGGCAAGTGTGCTAAACCACTGAGCTACACTCTATCCCCAGTATATGCTTAATATAACCAGCGCCACAGGAGTTGAACTCATTTTATTAAAGAGACCAGCCTCTCAGTGTTTTTCTGACCCTTCCCTGGAACCGAAACTGTCCCTGATTAGTTGAGGATGCCTTCTGCTTCAAAGCTGTTTGGACAAAAGCAGCCCTTCCTGACCTGGAGGAAGTTGTCATCTCAGAGAGAAAAAGAGCTGGAAAGTAAACATTATGTTTTGATACTAGGGGAAATAAGAGAATTACTGAGTATTTTTTCTGCAGTCCTACTGTTATAGGCAGCTGAGTTAGTTAAAAATACTATAGGCAGTGAGACAGGACTGGGTCCTTGAAAGAGTCTGTGCAGAAGCCCAGATACCTCGCAACTCTGAGGGACACAGGCACCTCCTGCTGTGGCCCAGGCCTCAAGACAAAAGATTAAACAAATATGTCTATATTCCAAGGGCTGCTATTCTAAATAGTTTTTTTTAATCACTCTGAGGAAGTCAAGAGTCACCATTTTAACCTGCTACAGAAGAGTTATTTTTCTCTAAGAAACTCTGCTTTTTACGTGACTGCTCCATTTGTCTCAAATTTAATCAGTTTTATCTGAACTATTAATCTTACTGGTTAACCATAGCTTTGTCCTACCTTATGCCCATCTTCCTGGTGAGGTCCCATTTTTTTCTACCTTAAACCCGTCTCACCCCATGATTTTACTCTATAAAAGTCCCTAAAAAAGGCAGAGTCTCTGGCAACCAACGTGGGACCCCTTCTGTCTCTCCCTCAGAGAGAAGCTTTTTTTTCTCAATGGATATATTTTGTTCTTAACCTCTGTTGCTTCTAAAATTGATTCTTCGATTTTAGAGAATACAAACTCATACTATAGGACATAGTAGGTTAAGAGTCTCATTCTCCTATATCAATATATATAGTAACACCTGGAAATCTTGAAATTAGAACTAAGTTATGTTTAAGAGTGTTTTTTGCCTCTTGCCAAATGTTACTCAGGTCCTAGAATTCCAATAAAGTGTGGCAGCCCCTGGTTGCCAGTTTTTGAAATAAACCTTTTCAACCCTCCCACTCTTAGAGCTTTTAGAATCTGAGCAATATGTGTTTTGAATGAAAAAGAAGTCTGAAAGGTTTATCTCAGGGAGCTCTAGAGAAGGCTGGGAGCCGAGGGATGAGAAGCAGCTGTTACAAACAAGCCTGAAGCAGATGGGGCTCTGCTGTGGGGAAGCTTGGGCCTGGGGCCTGTGGAAGGCAAGTGTTACTGTTCATAACTGGGGTTCTGCTTGGCCTTTGCTTTCGTCTAGCTGTGGCGCAGGCTACAGAGCCCAACTGGAGGGAAGTGGCCCCAGAAATATATAAATAAATATATAAAAAGGACACTATTAGGGCCATAGCCACTTAACTATCCCTGGGATGCAAATTACTTTCCTAGAACTCACATTTATCTTGTTCTCTCAATGCAGCCTCTGAAATGTCAC